ATTAAAGGACATTCATGAACAAGTCAAGGGATATTGCCAATATACGCTATCTTGTTCTAACTAAGACATACATATATATATTAAATACCTAGTACTAAATACTAATATAACATAGCTGCTCTTTTTCTTGAAGCTTCTTATATTAAATCACACAAAATAAGTACGAAAGGACATTAAAACAGTAATTAGATTAGGAATTGATGTTAATTTAGATTTCTATATTAGTATGCCTCGCCGTGTAGTGGCGGTTAAGAATATCCACTACCCCATATCTTCCCACAGGCAGGAGATGGGCAGCAGCATCTTCCTGATAACAGCAAAGTTACAATAATAAAAACTGCGGTTGCCAATCCGCTCACCAAGCGTGGCAACTATGGCAAATACCCCCCTATGATGAGAGTACCAAAGAGACAGCCTCCAGTCCCCGGCGGCCCCGCTATTCCTGGCTACGGTGGCGACCATGGTAACGGCGGGGCAGGGGGTGCTAAGAATCTCCGGTGGAAGTTTGGTTGCCACCTAAAACGACCCGACCTGGCAACATACAACGCATGCACCCTGAGGACTGACGATAAGATCGTGGAGCTGGAAGAAGAGATTGGTGCGTAAACCATGTATGCGTATGATAAGTTACGCTGGCATTATCCGAGGTCCGAAGAGGGGGAGGACACGGTAATCCTCGAATCCGGCAACTTGCTCTAATCACCGGGAGGGCGACCATCTGTCCCAAGGAGGTGTCGGATTTATCGTCCACAAGTCTCTCGTTAACAACGTTGTAAAGATTGAGTGTGTCGACGAGGGTTGCGTACCTTATACTCAGAATTACCAAATGGTATTCGCTGAAGGTCATACAGGTTTACGCACCAACCTCGGCACATCCCGATGAGGAGGTGGAGGTAATGTATGAGGATATCTCTAGAGCCATGCAATCCTCCAAAACCCACTATACGGTGTTAATGGGAGACTTCAATGCAAAACTAGGCACAAAAGAGAACAGTGAGCTGAAATTTGGGAAATTCGGAATAGGGCAACGGAACCCAAGGGGCCAGCAGCTGGCTGACTTCATGGTGAAAGAGGGACTCTTTATGATGAATTCTTTCTTCCGGAAGCGGTCCCACAGGAAGTGGACCTGATCGAGCCCCGACGGGTCGACAAAAAATGAGATTGACTTCATTATGACGACCAGACGACAACTGTTCAGTAATGTCTCCGTGATCACGAGGGTGAAAACTGGTAGCGATCACCGAATGGTTAGAGGCACACTGAACCTAAACATTAAGTTGGAGAGGTTTCGTCTAATGAAGTCAACACTCTGTCCTCGTCGTGCTCTGTTCCAAAGTCCCGAAACCTTTCAGCTCGATTTACAAAACCGTTTTCAGTCCCTAGAACAAGCTCGTGAAAACTGTCCATGCGGTCGGAGCTAAGTTCTGCAAGACCCACTGCAGAAGAACACAAAAACTCTCCGATCACACTCTTAATCTCATGGCTGTTAGATGGGACATGAAGCTACATTCTTCAACAGATTTGACAGCATACAGGCAACAAGAGACAGATCTCCAAATGTATGCGGCGGGACTTTCGCAACTTCAATATAGCTTGTATTGAAGAAGCGATTGAGCGGAACCAAGGCTCCAAAGTCTTTGTCAGGGATCTGTCTGCCAGAAAAAGCTAACTGTCAAAGCTGAAGACCGAGTGTGGCAGCATCGTTTCCGGAACACCTGAGATTTTGAGTGAGATTGAGAGGTTCTATGAGCAGCTGTACACGTCATCGTTGGACACTCACAGACAAGTGTGAGTAACGATCCAAGAGCGAGTCTAATCCGACACTATTCCGAAGATATCCCGGATGTCAGTCTGAGCGAGATTAAAATGGCTCTCCAGCACCTTAAAAACGGAAAATCCCCGGGCAAGGATGGAATTACAGCGGAGCTTTTGAAAGAGGGTGGAAAACTGGTACTTAAAGTCCTTCAGAAGCTCTATAATTCCTTCCTCCATGGTGGCACCACTCCGGAGGCGTGGAGCAGAAGTGCGGTGGTCTTGTTCTTCAAGAAAGGCGACAACACTCTCTTGAAGAACTATAGACCGATTTCCCTTCTGAGCCGCGTCTACGTGCTGTTGTGTGCTGTTTTCGAGAGTCATTACGAATCGTCTCGTACGCAGACTTGACAACTTCCAGCCTCCCGAACAAGCCGGTTTCCGAAAAGGCTTTAGTACCATAGACCACATGTGTATGTTCCTTCGGCAAATTGTACAGAAGACAGACGAGTACAATCTGCCACTTTGCCTTGTGTATGTGGACTATGAGAAAGCCTTTGATTCCGTCGAAATTTGGGCGGTGCTGCAGTCCCTTCAGCGGTGCCAAGTTGACTGTCGGTATATCGACGTGCTGAAGTGTTTGTACAGTAGAGCTACGATGGCTATCCGAGTACAGAATCAGAGTACGAAACCTATCCAACTGCACAGAGGTGTAAGACAGGGTGACGTTATATCCCCAAAACTTTCACCGCTGCATTGGAAGACGTTTTCAAGCTGTTGGACTGGAAAGGATGCGGTATTAACATCAATGGCGAGTACATCACTCACCTTCAATTTGCCGAAGATATAGTCCTAATGGCAAAATCGCTGGAGGACCTAAGCACTATGCTCAATGACCTCAATAGTGTCTCCCAACAGATGGGTCTTAAGATGAACATGGACAAAACAAAAATCATGTTTAACGTCCATGTCACACCTATGCCGGTAGTTGTTGGGAGCATTAAGCTCGAAGTTGTTGACGAGTATGTTTACCTGGGAGAAATAGTCCTAGATCTTAGACCTATTGGTCGAAGCTGGACTTACCTCGTCGTACAGATGGATACCTAGTCGGTCGGATCGAGGGAAACTACGACACATCTTCTCGTAAGACGTAACTCAAAACCTTAAAACGAAATTGTACAACCAGTGCATGTTAACAGTGATGATTTACGGATCTGAGACGTGGTCCGTCACTGCTGGCTGTATGAGGAAGCTCAAGGTCGCTCAGCGAGCTATGGAGAGGGCAATGCACGGGGTTTCTCTGCGTGATAAACTTAGATATAAGGATATCTGCAGTAGAACCAGAGTAACCGACATAGCCCAACGGAGTAGTAAGCTGAAGTGGCAGTGGGCCGGCCATATAGCTCAAAGAACCGACAACCGATGGGGAAGAAAGGTTCTCGAGTGGCAGCCTCGTACTGGTAGACGAAGTGTAGGGCGACCCCCCACGAGATAGAGTGACGACCTGGTAAGACATGCAGGAAGTTGATGGATGCAGGTGGCTCAGAACCGTGCTTTGTGGCATTCCTTGGGGGAGGTCTATGTTCAGCAGTGGACTTGTGAAAGGCTGTAATGATGATGATGATGATGACAAAAACAAAGTAATATTGACTTGTCGGTGCATCTATAAAATACATATTGTGGAGCATCATATGGATGGTGGCAAAGTGGAATTGAGCATATATCGAGAAACCTCCCACTTGTTTGTGCAGTATAAAGTTCACTGCAGGTGCCGAGCGTGAGAGATTCTGCTTAAGTCATTCTACAAGTACTAAGATAGAGTTGTGCTTCTGTCCATTGTGGTGGTTCCTCTGGTGCAGGCAAAGAGGATGCTGCTACTGAGAGGCTGCCTTGTGTTACATTAAGATGGGTGGTATTGCTGTTGATTTGCATACTTTGGTGTTATCAAGTAATTATGTCCTTCACATTACACCAGTGTGTACTTGTGATGGGAATATATTACAGTATGGTCGAACTGTAATTGCTCTATACTAAATGTATAGTCTTATCTTATGTATAGTCACAGTCTTATTATTGATAATGATTACTTGCGCAAGCAAGAGAGCAAGTTGGACATCTGCTCTCAGACTTTTACCATTTTTAACAATTAAAGCTATCCTATTGTATTTCCTATATCAGAATTGGCCTTATCCTGTTGTATTATATTTTTTCTAATACTACTTATTTTCATGTAGTTTTATAAGAAGTTAGTTATAAAAGAATAGCATTACAAGTATCAATAATTTAAAATACAAAAACAGAAGTAGATAAAATAACCCAGACCAGAAAATGGTCAGTAGCACCAAAGATACCATGACTTGTGCTATGGTGATCACTAATAGTAAACAAGAACTGGATGACCCCACTACAAGGAATTGATGAACATACCCATTGGTGATTGCAGTAGCATGTAATACTATGTCTCTCACCATTGACATTGATCCCATCTATCTGTTAGTGTATTGTTATTGGTCATTTACAAAGTTAGATATCATCATTAATCATTATCATTTGTCACTAGCAGCCCTTTACTAGTTTGCTGCTAAACATTGAGATTAAGCAATCATTTGGCAGCATTCCAAGTAATATTTGTTAGAAGTACTTAAGTGGTAGAGCCATGTTGCAGCTATATTAGTAGTATAGTTGTAGCACAAATGGGTTGGCTCGACCAGGGAAGGACCATGCTCTCACAGAAAACCAGTGTAAAATAGCAACTTGACACTGCTGTGTTTCGTATGGTGTGTGTAGAGAACCGGTGACCCATTTTACTGGAAAAGAGGCTTAGTCCTCACGGGTGACGACGCATCTGCATTTTGATTCTTTATTGAGGAAAAATGTAGATGTCTATGGGCTGCAGCAACCACTTACCATCAGGTGGACTGTGTGCTTATTTGTCACCCTATAATATAAAAAAAAAGAATCAGTTCCAGTAAATTGAGAGGATTTGGCTGCCATCCACATTTTTGGGCATTGGTTGGTTCCACATTTTGACCAAATCAATCGTAAATTGGTAACTTTGTCCGATAAATGAATAAAAACCCTACCACTATAGACATGTAAGAAAAATTGTCATAGATAAGCTACAGCAACGAAGATGCCGCTGTAGGCCAAGTTTTCAGCAATTTCCCAAAGAAAGGCTAAGGTCCAGAAGTGTATTAAAAAGCTAATGACTATATAAGAAATAATATCAAAAGGAATATTTCACATACCGTGCCTGTAGGATATTTGTATTTACTAAGTTTTCCATTAGTGTTAACAACTGCTTCATTTTATATCGGTTTGTCAGAATAGCAGTAAGCGTAAGATACTGACGAATGGCAGATTCCTGCACATCAGCACTCAGTGTGGTCATGACAGCACACAGTTTTTTTTGATACATTGCTAACCTCTCATTTTCTTGTTCCGGCTTGTAAACGAGAAAGCAACTAAAAGCTTCTTCTACCGCCTCTACTCTCTAAAAAATACGTAATGTGATACATAAGAGAAATTATAGTTTTAACAATATTAAATTTAATAGACTTACCAAAATTTCGTTGACTATGTTCGCAACTTGAGAATCAGCCATTTTTATGTCTAATGTTCAAGCAACTCACAAGTAATTCATAATTAGCTAATCGATATTTAAATCAAAAAACTATTGTATCGATATTTAAATCAAAAAACTATTGTATTTTGGTTAACATAACTAAACACAAGTTGTTAAGTTGTTTTATCCTTCTTTTACCACAGACTTTCAGTATATATTCTCTAGTATATATACAGTATCTATGGTATATATAAAGGTACTCTGTGCCACAGATTACTGTATATAATTATACCAGTCTCTGTGCCACAGTTCGCCGTGTAGTTGGCGGTCAAGAATATCCACTACCCCATATCTTGCCGTGGGTGTCGTAAAAGGTGACAAAGGGAAACAGGCAGGAGATGGGCAACAGCATCTTGATCTCTATGATGAGAGTACCAAAGAGACAGCCCACAGCCCACAGTTGCCACCTTAGACGACTCGACCTGGCAACGTACAACGCACGCACCCTGAGAACTGACGAGAAGATCGTGGAACTGGAAGAAGAGATAGACAAGTTGCGTTGGCATGTTATAGGATTATCCAAAGTCCGAGGAGAGGGGGAGGACACGGTAATCTTCGAATCCGGCAACTTGCTCTATCACCGGGAGGGCGACCATCTGTCCCAAGAAGGTGTCGGCTTTATCGTCCACAAGTCTCTCGTTAACAACGTTGTAAAGATCGGGAGTGTGTCGACGAGGGTTGTGTACCTTATACTCAGAATCACCAAACGGTATTCGCTGAAGGTCATACAGGTGTACGCACCAACATCGGCACACCCCGATGAGGAGGTGGAGGAAATGTATGAGGATATCTCTAGAGCCATGCATTCCTACAAAACCCAATATACGGTGTTAATGGGAGACTTCAATGCAAAACTAGGCACAAGAGAGAACGTACAACCAGTGCGTGTTGCCAGTGATGACTTACGGATCTGAGACGTGGTCCTTCACTGCTGGCCGTATGAGGAAGCTCAAGGTCGCTCAGCGAGCTATGGAGAGGGCTATGCTCGGAGTTTCTCTGCGTGATAAACTTAGGAATGAGGATATCCGCAGTAGAACCAGAGTAACCGACATAGCCCAACGGATTAGTAAGCTGAAGTGGCAGTGGGCCGGCTCGAAGAACCGACAACCGATGGGGAAGAAAGGTTCTTGAGTGGCAGCCTCGTACCGGTAGGCGAAGTGTATGGCGACCCCCCACGAGATGGAGTGACGACCTGGTAAGGCATGCAGGAAGTCGAAGGATGCAGGTGGCTCAGGACCGTGCTTTGTGGCATTCCTTGGGGGAGGCCTATTTTTTTTTATAGGATAGGGTGACAAACGAGCACACAGTCCACCTGATGGTGAGTGGTTGCTGTGACCCATAGACATCTACATTTATCCTCAATAAAGAATCAAAATGCAGATGCGTTGTCACCCGTGAGGACTAAGATGGAATGCCTCTTTTCCAGTAAAAAGGGTCTCCGGGTCTCTACACTCACCATACGAAACACAGCAGTGTTAAGGTGCTATTTGACGCTGGTATTCTGTGAGAGCGTGGTCCTTCGCCGGTCGAGCCGACCCATTCGTGCTACAACTATACTACTAATATAGCTGCAGCATGGCTCTACCACGTTCAATATGTTCAGCAGTGCACTTATGAAAGGCTGTAATGATGATGATGATGATGTGCCACAGGCTATAATAACTAGTACCTAGTAGATTCTAATTTTTTTGTGCCCATAGCAAGGCTACCCTCCGGAAGCGGGGGAGGGAGGTGGTGAATGCTCATAGTATAGCACGCAGCCGGCTGCTTCGTTATTTGTGACGCACTATGAAGTGCCTACCCACTAAATACCTGTGGTGGTATTTAGTGGGTAGGCGCTTCATAGTGTTTACACCGCGCCCTCTTTCCCTAAAAGAGGTCGCTTCCAATTCGGTGAAGAGGCCACTCAGGCCAGAGCCAGTCCTACAGGTGGTGTTTAGTGGGTAGGCGCTTCATAGTGAGTCCCACATAACCACGAAGCCAGCTGCGTGGTATGCTATAAACCTTTATCGGCTCATACAAAGTGGCCAGTAAACTTGACAGTCTGTTGAAGCTCGTTATCTCATAGATTTTTATTTAAATATTGAATATTATCAACATTTACGACCCATGTTTGAGCACACTCGCACGTTGACAGACCAGCTTTCAAGTTCATCATGCACAATCACAGAATCGCGCCTTTTTAAAGATGGCCTGTCTACTGGCCACCGTGCATCCGCGTATGAACATTTGATGTCATCGCGTGTGTATGTTATGTGTTTACAAGTGTTATAGCAATAAAAAATCTTGTCTTCATTTGCACATAACATCAAAGTATATTATATAAAGTAAGTGAAACTATTATTTTATATTATATACTTTGATGTTATGTGCAAATGTAATCGAGGATAATAAGAAAAACATGTATTTTTGGCAATTGAATACAAACCGGTCTGTTGAAAAAATATATCCTAAAAATTGCCTACCTAACTTTGAGCTATTGTATTGAGTATTTATTTGGTCTTAAGCATTTGGTATAGTAAAATAAGAAATTTACCATACATAACCCTGTTCGGTAGTTATAACCTATTATTATGAATGTTTTGGTTTTTTTTCGTCATGTTTTTGCAGGTATGCAGGTACTTACGAAAATCGTTATATACCTAATATGTTTGCATTGTAATTTCCACATTGTTTTAGACAGACATATACTTAGCGGAAGTTGGAGTAACTAGATGAGGACTGATAGAATGTCGTAGGTATAACAGATGACCAGGCCAATCGGACGTCAGTGGTGATTCAGATTTCAGATGCTGATGTATAAGGGATTTTAGTGGACTGTATGAATTTACTATTGCGAGTGGACTGTATAACTGACTAATTACTACGCTAGGGGACTGCTCAAAGAAAAGATGGTACTAAAGAACTATACTGTACTCAACTTGCTGTACTCAAATGCGGCACTAATAAACTATATACAGAGAGGGGAGTCTTCACTCTTCTATCTTCAATCTTTAATGGAGTATTTCTCTTGAGGTTTCTTCTCTTGTTGTCTTCGAGTGCCGCTTCCGAAATGAACACCTCACAGACCAAAACGACCTTCTTATATCCCGCAAGAGAGCGTCTCAGTATGTGAGTAGCGTCGTAAGGCGATGCCGCGCGCTGATTGGTCGACGACATCGCGTGATCTGCTGCCGGTGTGCGAGGTGCGCGGGGCGCAACGGGGTATGAAGGGGCGGCGGCCTCCTTCGCCGTCCGCAACATCCTCCCCCCGGCGTAGCCTGCGAGCCTAAGCTTCCCTCGGGAGGACGGCTAGCTTCCTGACGGGCCGCCGCAGCACTCCGCCCTTGGTCCTGACCTCTTTCGTAGGCAGAGAATCGTTCTATGTATGGCAGGTGTGGAGCGTCCTTGGTGTCGCTCTGGTGCGCCACGATTTCCTCCAACTCTTCATCACCCCCTGCCTTCTCTTCCTGTCGGTGAGGCCATCTGTCTTCGTTCTCATAAAGGAAGGGCGGTCCTGTAAACCATTTATCGCTTCCTTCTTTGGTTGCGAAATTCATGCGCGTTGCCAGATCTGCTATGTTCTCCGCAGTTGGTAACCACATCACCAGCTATCTCCCCTAACCGGTAAGCCACGTATGGAGTGTAATGCGCCGTATCATTTTGTATCCAGTGGAGCGCCGTAGTAGTGTCCGTCCAATATATGACCCTATCTGCTACCACTCTGTGCTCGCCTTGCACGAATTCCGCGAGTCGCGCGCCTATTAAGTTCGCCTGCAACTCTAATCGCGGTATACTTTGCGCCTTGATCGGAGCGATTTTCGCCTTAGCCGCCACTAATCGCACCCTAACCGTTCCGTCGCTATATCGTATTCACTAATATGCCGCGGATGCGTACGCACGTTCGCTTGCGTCGTTAAATACGTGAAGTTGACGCTCTACCACTCCCTCCGTAGGAGCATAGCACCTTGGCAGTCGCAGTCGTGGCACCCCCTCGACGACTCGCAGCCACCTCTGAAATTCATCCGCTGCCTCCTCGGGTAGTTCGTCATCCCATCTGACCTTCTTCATATGCCATAGGTCTTGTAGCAGGTTCTTGGCGGTGATGGTGAGGTAGCTTAGCAGTCCGAGCGGGTCAAACACAGACATGACTGCGCTTAATGCTTCCCTCTTGGTCGGTGGTCGCTGTAGCACCTTTACTTCCTGTGGCACCCTATTCATCGAGATGTTGAAGGTTAGGGCGTCTTCGTCGGCCATCCATAACAACCCTAGGGTTCTGCCTGGGCTGTCTTGCCTTAAGCCTACTTCCTTAGGCTTGCGCGCCAGTAGTTCCTCCGGCTTGTCTTCCAATAGGGCTGCGTGATTAGATTTCCAGCCTGCCAAGGTGAAACCGGCCTTCTGGTGCACTTCCGAAACCTGCCTTGCCGTATTTACCGCTTCCTCTACCGTTGCATAGCTGTCTAAATAGTCGTCCATATAATGACTACGGATGATAGCGTTAAGTGCCAACGGGTGTGTCTCTGCGTGTGCGCGCGCGTCATAATCTCTAACACTATGTGCGAGAAACGGCGAGCTCCTAGCGCCGAAAATCATCGACGTCATAACGTACTCCCGCGGTGGGCTGTGTCGCACGTTTCCTCGCCAGAGAAACACATTTCCCTAATATCCGCGGACATGGCTATTTCATTCTCTCTAAACCTAAACAGTATGCCCGGTAAGTTCCGTAATAAGTCGGGGCCGTCGAGTAAATAATCATTAAGACATCTACCGGATGAGCGCGCTGCCGCGTCGAACACTACTCTTGTCTTCCCCGGCTTGTTCAGATTCCGCACTGCGAAGTGTGGCAGTTACCAGCTCTTGGGATCCTCTTTCTCCGTCCCTTCGGCTTCCCTTGCGTATCCTTTTGCTAGGAGGTTGTCTATCTGGGTTGTGTAGGCGTTCCGAAACTCCGGCGACTGGTCCATCTTCCTTTCAATCGTCCGTAGTCTTCGAGCTGCCAT